GGGGCTTGTTCCTGCCTCAAAGTGACAAGTCAGACTTTGTTTACCCTCTCTGAGAGGTGGATAGGGGATGGGGTGGGGAGTGAAAGGAGGGGAGGGAGTGGGAACTGGGATAGGTATGTAAAATGAGAAAAGAGCATTCTTTAAAATTAATTTAAAAAGAAAGAAAATGTACTTGGACAGAACGGAAATGAAAACGGCCGAGCGCAGATGGCTCCCCCTTTAATTCCAGCACTCGGGAGGCAGAGGCAGGCTCCCTGTGCATTGGAGGCCGGCCTGGTTTACAGAGTGAGTTCCAGGACAGGGTTTCTACACAGAGAAACCCCTGACTCGAAAAAAACAATCAAAACAAAACATGAAAACAAAATATAAACGATGTTCTCCGTGCTTAAATCAGTAAGCCTCATCAAGATCCCGAAACCGGAGTCAGCGTCCTTCCTCAACTGGGCCACCCAGCATCAACACACCACCCTAAACTTAAGATCGAAGACACTTCTCAAACTTTTCTCTACCCAATAAAAAGACTACCACGACACACAGCCCACGATCTTGCTTATGCTCACTACTCACTCACCATAGAACGGTACCCCCTGGCTGCACACGGGCGCAGCCATGACAGTCCCGCTCAAAGCCGCGGCTGGGACGGTCTACGGATTCCTGTATAGGTCAAAAAACCTAAGTTCGCGGGGCCGTAGACAGCCACGTGTTGTGGGGGGGGGGGGGGCTGCCAGAAGAATGGTTTCTCGGATGAAGAGATAGGCCCTAGACCACGCAAGAGTCTCCGTAAGAGGCCACGGCGCTTATAAAGAGCATGTATGGTTGTTTCTATAAACTTAACACGTTCAAGAAGTAACTTTGAACTTGCCCCTGGCAGAGCGGCAGCTTCTGAGAGCGCCTGCGCCATTTTTTAATGCGGAGGCGCGGTTGCCAGGCAACCGAGACGCCGTGGTCCCAGACTCTAGGTCTTGCTAGATAGAGATCATGGCCAAATTCGTGATCGCGGGTGAGTTTTTCTTCAGTTTCCCAGAGTCGCTGGTCAGCCTTGTTAACTGCCTTCTATTCCGCAGCCCATGCTCTGATGGATCACCTCGGGCTGTTAGGCAGTGGCGGTGTGCCAAACTCTAGCGAGCACTGGGGACACGGTGGGGGAAAAATGTTCATCTTTGTTTGGCCTTGGCAAGTTTTAATTCCCACGGCGGTGCAAACATATAGAGAATAACTTTGATCTGCCGTGATTAATGCAATGACGGAGAGGTGCACAGGCCTCTGGGCGAATATTCTCTTAATGTGGGGGTGTGGGATGGAGAAGGGATGGATACAGGGAACTAAGCAGAGAAACTGTTAATGGCACTATCCCAGACAAGGGGTAAAAGAGCTGCAATCGAATGGAGGGCCTGGATGCGGGAGTATGGCAGGACATTGGGTTAGACTTACAAAATAGAAACAAGACTCTTGTATCTTACAAACACCTGGGGGGGGGGATATTTGAACTAAATCTTGAACACCAAGAAGTGTCATCGAAAGAATTTAAGTAAAAGAGTCATTGGATTTGCGTTTTTCAAAAACTCATCTCCGCAGCCAAAAGCAACAACAACACCTAATGCAACAGGTACTTACTGTGTGTCTGCCTCCTCCTTTCTCCCCGAGTTGTTTAAAAGAGCTCCCGGCTGTTCCATATCTAGCCCTTCATTCCTCTCAATCTGGCTTCTAATTTGCCTTATATGCAAACTGGTTTTTTTTTTTCCTCTGCAATCACCAATCTTAGATAAACTGTTCAGTTTTTGTCTTAGTTTATTTTGGGGTATACACCAGAGAAGACTGCTCGGACTTGGATTTAAGCCAACAGAAAGTGTTAGCCAGCTGGCAACTACACTAGGTGTTCTAGATCCCAGTGTAGCCCTGAGTCTTTCTCAGGGTCAGCTTTTAGGCACAAAACCATGTTCTGGGTTAACATACAGTTAACAAGAAAAGTTACCCAGAAACAGAACTTCAGAAGCCAAAGGTAAGGTTAACACACTTACAGATGTCCCCAGAACTATAAGACTTCGATGGAGTGGGCCTTTGTTTTAGTTTTGGGAGGTGGTGCTGTCTACATGCTGAGTATTACAGCCTGAATGGTGCTTCCATCATGGAGTCTGCTGTGCTAAGGTCTGGAGCCCTCTTCCACGTGGACGTCTCTGTTACACTGGACACAATTGATCTTTACCATCTCCTTGGAAGTACTCTTTTGCTTCACTACTGCTTCAGATAAATATTTTTAGCACTAGAAGACTGGATGGCGGGAATACAGTAGAAAAGTTTCATGGCGTTTTGTACGTAACAGTAACAGAGCAGCGTTCTAGAGGGAGAGGGGCAGAGGACATTCCTAGTCAGGGCTTCCAGAGGGAGAGGAGGCAGAGGACCTTCCTAGTCAGGGTTTTCAGAGGGAAGGGAGCAAAGGACATTCCTAGTCAGGGCTTCCAGGGGAGAGGGGGCAGAGGACCATCCTAGTTAGGGATTCCAGAGGGAAAGGGGGCAGAAGACATCTTAGTCAGATCTTCCAGGGGAGAAGGGGCAGGGGACCTTCCTAGTCAGGGCTTCCAGAGGGAGAGGGGGCAGGGGACCTCCCTAGTCAGGGCTTCCAGGGGG